TTTTGTGGCCTGTGGGCTACACAGTACAGGAAGCAAGCCTGCGGTGTTCACAGTGACCTCTGCCACACTGGGCTCATCCAGTGGCCAGTGTAGGCCTGCTGTGTAGTAGGCATCAGCAACCCTCAATGAGGGAAGTAAAATGAGCCGAGCCATTGTACCAGCCTGGACCAACCCGGGCGAGGGTGGCATGTGACTGATGGACAAGCCCATGGTAGGTCAACCCCTCAGTGGCAGGTACACAGGGTGCTCTTCTGTTGACACGGCTCAAAGCTAGAGGAGGTGAACAGGTCTTCATGGTCTGTCTGGGAGCCGTGTCTGTAAGATTGGCGCTGACCCATGGAACACGTGCAGCCTCAGGTGGCTAGGTCCATGGGCAGCTATCATGCTGGGTACAGGAGTGAGACCAGGGGAGCAAGGACTTAGCCTCAGGAAGGCAGTATGATGGCAAGCATGGGCACAGTGGCCAACATGGGTCAAGCTGCAAGAGTGTCGAACACTGTGCTGAGTTCCCTGTCCTGTGAGCTCAGCATTGTGCTCTCCACTTACAGAGGAGAAAAGAAATGGCTCAGAGATGGAGCTCTGTGATCACTCTGGGCCTAACCTACAGACAGTACATTCCTACAGGTTTCTTCATTGGACTCACACAGAGGTGCTCCTGGGCTTAGGGAACTGATTTCCCAGCTTCTGTCCCCTGCCAGCCTTGGAGTACCCTCAGGTATAGAGGGAAAGGGCCTGCATCAGGACAGAAGTCAGGTGGAGTGCCTTCATTTGTGGGTGCAGTTCCTCATCTCTGGAATGGAAATGGTTGATGGTCTCTAATGGTATATGGACAAATCCTGTCCAGAGAAGGAAGCTGTCTAAATGCCAGGCCACCAGAACTGGGGATTCCTGACCCCTTAGTTGTCTTTTGTCATAGCCCAAGGCTGTGAGACCTGCCATCTGCTTCCCCTCCCTGCATTCTCCCCGTAACATCAAGGACCAACCATCCAGAGACAGAAGCAGTGCACATAAAGGCATCTGCCACCAGAGACGAGGGGCAAGGAAGAACCCCACGCATTCTGGCATCAGGCTGGTGGCCCCTGAATCCCCTGAGTCTGTCCACTATTTATTTTGCAGACAGTGTCCATCCTGGAGCAGCGGTTGACATTGACAGAAGACAAGCTGAAGCAGTGTCTGGAGAACCAGCAGCTAATCATGCAGAGAGCAACACCATGATCAGGGGAGCAAGAATCAGGAGCTTGGTCGATTTGGGGGGTGGCAGGCCAGGGGTTTGTACTGCAGGACTTGGGTAATAAATAAAGGGATTCAGCTCTGTGGGAATTACGTCCTTACCGAGCCCAGGAATTGTGCAGTTCTGCCTTGTACCTTGCTATCTGCATCAGGAGGCTCTTCTGGCAGTGGGAGGCCCCAAGTGGGCAGGGCCCACAAGAAAATGCTTGAGTCTCACTGGCAGGACCACATTTAGTTTAACCTGAAGGAGCCACTTGATACTTCTGGTGTCTCTGAGTCCTAAGATTGTGGGCTGTCCCTCTGGAGAACCTTGCTTTTTCACTCCATTACTTTCAGCCATGTGACTGGCTTTTCCCATTCCATCCATGACTTAGAATTTGACTGCTCAGCCAGACATTGTAACCCAGACTCAGGAGCCTGAGGCAGAAGGATTGCAAGTTCAAGGCCAGCCTGGGCAACTTAGCGAGACCCCATCTCAAAATATAAAAAGGGCTGGGGATGTGGTAAAGTGCCACTGGGTTCAAGTTCTAGTACCAAAAAGAAAAGACGGCTCATTGGTTGGATGAACCAGGCCCAAAGCAGGCCCATCTGAGTCAAGTCTATTTAGGAACAAACTCTGTGGAATGGGGGTAATGGCTTTGCAATGAGATTGATTTCTGTTCCACATATGTTCACTTGGGCCTGGTGGCTTCCTCCTCTCTCTGCTCATGAGAACAAAGGAATCTGGAAATTAAAACTGACTTTATTGACTTGCTGAGGAATGGCTTGTTCTGGGTGAGACCTAGTTGGTCTTCCCATCCCCACGGCCTTTAAGGGGGGAATGAAAATGGCAAAATGGGATGCCCCTGTCCTTTGAGTATTGCCTTTCGGCCCACAACACCCTTCTTTGCAGTACTGATGGAACAAGGGCTACCAGAACCCCCCATATGCCTCCCACCTTCCCCTGGCTGGCCCCCACTGGCTTCTGTTGGGACTGGGGGACTCAGGTACCCACCTTTCCATTTGTTCAGTAGGGTTTCCTTAGGCTCTTTCCTCTGCATCTGAGCTGGGAAGGCCAGGGCAAGTGCCTTCCCTATTACTACATGTCACTCATGCCGTCACTCATGCCTTCAGCCTTTTGCGTCTTGGGGCTCAGCCAGCCAGGGAGGTATTCATCCTCACACACCTGCCCTTCCTGGGCAGAGTGGGATCCAGTGTTAGATATTCCCAGAAGCTGGCAGAACCACGAGGTTAATGGGGTCCCAGCCTGAATGCCTAAAAACTTCTACTGACAAGGGGAACAGGCTGTGTTGACTTCTGATAAACAAAAATATGGCAGCTGCCTGCAACCTGCACTGGGTGAGGAGAGAGCAGGTCTCACACTCACTTATCCCCAGCTGTGTGACCTCAACATTGTATTCTAACTTCTCTGAGCTTCAGGCTTTTAATGTCTGAAGTGGTGGTGATGACACCCAGTCCTCTGGATGGTTGGTTACAAGGTATGTGCTGTACTTTACCCAGTGTAGAACAGGTGACCAAGGGAAGCCCATCGCTCCCCACCCCCACCAGTCCCGCTAGGATAACAAGGGCTGCCAGCTCTGGAAATTGTGAGGCCTCTAGGGATCTGCCGATGTGTGAAAGAGCCTGACCTTACCTAAACTGGCAGGTGAGACTCTAAGCTGCCTTGGGAGGTAGTGAACTCTCCATTCCTGGAGACCTAAGGACAGCCTGGGTGACATGGGTCAACCTGCCCAGAGGGACCCAGCTTGTGGAACAAGCCTTTTCATCTTCCGTGCTCACTTTCCTGCCACTGACCCACCCTGGGGTACCTCTTGTGGCATCCAGACCTGGACTTGGAGCTACCAGCTATTGGGACTCTGATGTTTGAGCAGCCAGCCCAGAGCAAGGCCACCTCCAAAGACAGTTAGTAGTCCATGGCTGGGGCAATAGGACTTGAGCAGGTCTCCTAAGACATTGTGTGGTAGTTCTCGCTCAGAGGCCAGACTGGTGTTGCCATTTTCTGTCTTCATTTCACACCAGGATCAAGTTTGGAATCCTGCAGAAGAAAATGTAACTTAAGGAGATGGTCTGGGGGTAGTGGTGAGATATTTGCCTTGGTTACTTATTACCCATGGAAGCTCCAGTTATCAGATGTAAACAGGAGGGCACACCAAACACACACTATTTTTCTTGTAAGATGTTATTGACATGACCTAGGGCAGCCCTGGGACATCTTAGAATGCTGTGTTGTCTTGAATATAACAGAGACCTGCCAGGAGCCATCATCCAGGCCTATAATCCTAGCAACTCTGGAGACTGAGGCAGGAGGATGAAAAGTTTGAGGCTAGCCTGGGCAACTCAGCAAGACCCTATCTCAAAAGAATTAAAAGGGCTGGGGATGTTACTCGGTGGTAAAGCACCCTGGGTTCAATCTTTAATACAAAAAAAAAAAAAAGACCTACCTCCTTCATGCTGTAGAGGGGCTAAGACTCTTGTTTAGGGTGAAGTTCTTCTCCTGAGTTTCTTTTCTTGCTCATGTGAGGCCTGACTCAAACTCAATGCTCTGAGTGAGAATCTGGGATCCCAGGTTATACTGGGGCTAGAGGGACCCCTTATGGAGCCCTGACTACTGACACACTCCAAGCGCTGCCCAGTGGATCCCCTGGGGCTGGGACTATGACAGACTCCTCCCCACCCCCTCACTGCCAAGCACAAAAGCAGCCCTTCCAGAGATCCAGATGCCTCAGCCTTCATCTGTCCTAATGTTGGAGTTCGGTAACTGAACTCCCAGAGATTATGGTTCTCTCCCTCTCACCTCCCCTCTCCTTCCTCTTTCCTCTCCACTCCTTTCCCCTGCCTCCCTCTTTCTCCTTTTCTCTCTCTATCCTTCTCTTTCCTCTTAACCCCCATCCCCACTGCTCTGTCCCCTCCCTGTCCTCCCTCTGTTAGGAGGAGTTTGTTAGCCAGTGCATCTCAGTAGCAGTTCTCAATTGCCCCCCCTTCGTATCTTAATCTTCCCATGTGAAAGAAAAGAAGAGGTGTCTAGGGTTTACATTGTCGTCCCTTACCAACCCTTTGCCTGATTCTTGGGTTCCAGGGATGAACCTGCATTTCCCACTGAGGATGCAGAGGCAAGCAGACTACCAGATGGGCCTGGACAACAAGTCAGGCCACCCCCAGAAAGAAGCTGCTGAGCCCACCCCATACCGTGACAAGCCCTCCGCCCCTCATCCCTGAGTCACCATGCCCAGGAGCACCTAACTGACTGTGTCCAAAGGTCCCCACAGACCTGTGACTGCTTTTTCAGAGTCTCAGGTGGCACAAGCTGGTCTGCCCTGGGAACACTGCTAACTGCCCGCCCCCCAACCCAACTGTCCTGGGCCCTCTGTCCAGTGATGTGCTTGCCATAGCTTCAAGATTTCTCTGTGGGGTAAGAGTGGGTTTGTGACTCTTGACCCATTGCCAGAGCCCATCTCTGCCTCCCACTGGCTCCATGGCCTTGGAGGAGGTCCCTAAGGGTTCTGGACCTCTGTAAGATAATACCTGTCTCATTGGACACTCGGAGTGACTATGGTCAATGTGTGACTCTGTTACCCCACAACCAGGGCTCCATAAGTCAATGGTACAGGGGACTCAAGGTCCCAGAGTTGTCCTGGCTCAAATTGTACGTGGCTAGCATTGTCTTCTGATCCTGTGGCCCTGCTGTGGGTGTCCCCAGTGGTAGGAAGGAAGTTGGGCCCTCCCTTCTCCCCCCCCACCCCGAAGGTAAGCACTCTGAAACCACTTCTGCTGTCACTAAGGCCACCACTAGGACCAGCACAGGCTTGGGGGTGGATATTTGTGATTGCTTGGAATTCCGGAAACCCAGCCCGCTGAGCAAGCGAGAGCACGGTGAGTCACACTGGCTCTGCAGTCCCAGGTCCCTGTCATTAACCTTGTCTTCCTGAATGACTTGCTAGAGATGGACCCCTGTTAGCTCCAGCCTTAATGGGTGTGTGGCCATTTAAGGGGGACCAGAAGCTGCCCAGGTTTCTCTCCTCCTCAGGTATCCCCATTCTTCTGCCTCATCCCCCCCTCCCCAGGGTGCTAAGAAGGGAACCCCACTGACTAAGGTAGCAGCGGCACCCCTGGTGCGCTTCCAGTGAGCACTGCCGCCCTGGCATGGGGCCTGTCCTAGTGTCTGGTAGGCTCCAGCCCACCCCACCCAGGCTGCCCTGCCACCATAGGCTCATTCTCTTGGCCACTTTGGGAGAGAGTTCCTGTCTCCCTGACCCACGAAGGCCCAGAATGTGGGTCCCTCACGACTGTACTAAGATGAGCCAGCCCGGAGTGCCTGCAGCAAAGCCATTAGGAAGTGCTCTGCGCCAGCCCCTCCTGCCAGGAGCTGCAAGTGGAAACACTCTCCCAAGAACCTATTTATAGAGCACAGCCAGGGAGGGGTTTTGCTTTAGGTTAGGCCACCTAGAGCCCGGCTGCCTGGAAGGCTGCTGGTTGCAGCAACCCCCGCCCCTGCCCACTCTGTCCTACCACCCATGAGAAATTGGGCGTGGGGAAGAGGAACCTCAGCAGAAGAGGAAGTGATGTCCTCCTACCGCTTCCCGTTCTCAGCCCTCTGCTTCTCTTTTAGACACAAGCACATGTTCCTGAAAGGAGGACTTTGTCATGTTTTGTGGGCCCTCCGTGGGTAGAGGCCTGGCCTGCAGGAGCCAGGGCCCATGCAGGGCAGTGTCACTCAGTCACACATACTAATACCACCCCTGTCCATCTTCATCCTAGCTGGCTGTGCATCTGGATTCAGTGTTGGAGTCAAGATTGCCGTGAGATCCCTGAGTACCTGGAGCCCACGTTTACCCAGCCATGTTCCCTTGGCCTCAGTCAGGTCTGGGCCCTCCAGATGCCCTACTCAATTGGCCTCTTGCAGACTTCTGCTCTCCCCTGCTGAACTTAGCCTGGGACCTTGCTTTGACCTCATAGGTTTTTCTGGAACCATCTGGCTCCCTCAGAAACTCCTGTGGTGTGTACCCACCTCTTCACTGAGCTCCTCAAACTGTGAACCCAAACCAGAGCCACCCCAACCCTCAGGCCCAAGGTTGGGATGGGTGCTGGTTCTGAGCCTAGGCCCCAGAATCTTCTCATGACAACTGCTCCTAAATTTGTTCCTCGGAAGCCTCTGGAACTTGGAGCAGGACAAGAAATGCAATTAGCCTTCCTTGCCCCTCCAGGCAGTGGCACAACTGTGCCTGCTAACTGGAAACAGAAGGTCCTTTCTGTGGCACAGGCCCAGGCTGGCCTATGTCAGGGCTGCCATGGGACTCCTTGACCAGAGCTGTGAAGCTGACCTCTGCTTCTAAACTTACTCCTGGTCCTTGGATTGGGTCCAGCTCCCCAGGAATAGGGCCACAGCCTCACAGGAATGCCCATGGCCCTTTGAAAGTCTCCTGTTGGGGACAAATGGTTTGCTAGAGCCTCAGTTCCATAGACCACTCTGGTGGGGGATGGGAGCCTCAGGCTGGGGGTCTCTCCAGCCTTCCAAAACATGAGCCTACCCACCTCTCAGGCACCCTGGAGTGAGCCCTTCAAGGAGCCAGGACCTACTGGGACAATGCCTGCTCACTCCCCACCTGGTCTCCAAATTTTGCCCTTGGCCCACCCATTGTTCTCAACACATCGGCCAGCATCTTCCAAAATACAAGCCCCCCAAACAATCAGTAATTAAAATAAAACTTGTAAGATAGCTTATGCCAGCCCTGCTCAACCCCCTTGAATGGTTCCTCAGCCTCCAAGGACACACCAAGTACTCACCATTGCTGAGGCCTACTCCCGATCCTGCCCCCCTCTACTCATCACCTACCCCCCTCCTCATTCCCCTCTAGCCACAGTGGCTTCCTCACTGTTAGAGCTCCAGGGCCTTTGCACCTGCTGTTTCTGCTGCCAGGAATACTGCAGTTTTCATCAGAGCCTCAACCTCCTCCTCTGAAGAATAAGAGCAGGAGTGGCCTCAGAGGACTATTGGAAGATTTGCTGAGGCAATTCACACAAAGCTCCAAGAGCTGGCTTTGTCCCTGCTGAGCTGTGATCCATGACCCAGGGAGGTGGAGAGGAATGGGTGCTGAAGAATTGGGTTTCTGGCATCATAAGCTAGACAGCCACTGGGCTTACATGACACTCAGTCAGTGCCCCTGGGAACGGGATCCACTGAGCCCCTTGGGCCCTCGGACTCCCCTCCCAATTGCCATTGGGTCTCTCTAATTGGACACTCACACCCAATTATGCCAGCATGGCTTCCAGCCACCAAGCCAAGCCAGGTGCCCCTGCCCTACCCCCTACACGGGTAGGAGAGTGGTGGCTAGTCCTTCCCACTTGCTGGTCCTCCTCACCTATCTGCTAACTGAGGGGCAAGGGCAGTGTCAGGGCTGGTGGCCTGCTGCACCATGGCCTCCCTGGAGTGGTGAGGGACAGCCAGCCTAGATTTGAAGGAGCATCTTACTGTTGGCTGGGGCTTTCTCCTGCCCCCATAGACCCTCCCACCTGGTTCTATCCTCTCAGGCCAAGCAGAGCCACAGATTTAGACTGAGTCTGAAGGAGAGGATGGAGCTTCTAATGGGCCTCACGCCACTCCCCAGCAGGCCACTGGCCTGGGGCCTCCTGCAGGGGCCTGTGAGCCAGGCAGCCGACCTGGTGGGGGTAGGCACCAGAACTTCTGGGGATAAAGTCTTCCCCTCCGCCTGCCTTCCCCCCCTCCTCCCACTCCCTTTGGTCCTCCACAAACACATGTTTCCAATCCCCTTTCAGGCCCCTCTCCCTCCCCAGCCCCTTCCCATTTCCTCTCTGAGGCATCCACTCACATGTGGAACTCATTAGGAGACCCTCAGGGCTCGTAACCCAACTCTGGCCTGGGCTTGGGGAGGGGGCCCTGTCCGCAGCCCCCATGCTGAGGCGAGGCAGCCCCCCCTTGTCTGGCCCCCGTCTGGCCCTGTGCAGCTTGGAGCTGGAGACCACAAGTTGCTGGTCATGGCCAAGAGTGGGGGATGCTGGTGGAGGGAAGCGTGGCCAGGAATCTCGCTCCTGCTCTCCAGCCTGCTCTCAGCGGGTGCCCGGCTCTGTGGTAGCTTCTGATTCCACAAGGGCAGCTGGACCCACGCGTGGAAAGCAGGTTTCAAGGCCCCTAAAGCAGGCCAGAGGAAGGATGAGGGGGTTCTGAGCAACTAACTCAGTGACCCTTAGCTTCCCACCTGAATAATGGGAAGGAAGGAGGTGATATGTGGAATAGCCACTGAACCACGAAAGGCCACCTTTTCCCCTGAAGACCTGGTCCCTTGGCTTGTCAATGGAGGTTATGCAAAAAAAAAAAAAAAAAAACTAGTGCTGTGATCACCAGAGGTTGGGAAATGTGTGGATGAATCAGATCCTTTAGAAGGATCAGAAGTTAGCTACTTCCCTTGCAGGACTTGTCAGAGCCTTTTTTTTGGCAGGGGGGGGGGGGGACCAGGAAGTGAATCCAGGGGCATTTAACCACTGACCACGTCCCCAGTCCTTTTTTGTATTTTATTTAGACAGGGTCTCACAGAGTTGTTTAGTGCCTTGCTAAGTTGCTGAGGCTGGCTTTGAATTCGAGATCCTCCTACCTTAGCCTCTGGAGCCACTGGGATTACAGGTGTGTGCCACCATATCAGGCCTGTCAGAGCCTTTAACATATTCCTATGTGGTACAACTAGGATCCCAGACTTCACTGTTTCCAGACATGACCCTGTTTGTGAAGGTGAACCTGGTGGGCTTTGTGTTCTATTAAAGCCACTTTGGAAAATACTTTAGGAAAAGAGGTAAGGAAACAGAAGGGATGGGTCAAGGCCCTCTAATGGGAAGGACTTCCTGAGGATCTGAATAGGAGTTGCTAGCTGCCTCTGAGGAAAGGGTGGAATTTGGGGGGGTGGTTTTTGTTGTTGTTGTTTTGTTTTGTTTGAGACAGGATCTCACCAGTTGCCCAGGCTGACCTCAAACTTGTGTTCCTCCTGCCTTAGTCTCCCAAGTCTCTGGGATTTCAGGTGTGTGTGCCACTAAGGCCAGATAAAGCAGGAGCTCAGCAGGCGGCTGGTATGGCCAAGGCTAGAGGCAGGAAGGCACTCAAACCAGGCAGGACCCTGGTGATTCCAAGTCCTTTCCTACCCTGGTGTTTCCCTCTCATGAGAGGGCAGGCAGGTGGGTGGGCCTGTGTGGGCACCGAGGCAGAAGCTGGAGGGCAGGGCCTCCCCACGCAATGGGATTTGCACAGACAGGCCCAGGGTGTTGGGAGTGTCTGGGCTACCACCCCACTGCGACATCAGCCTAGGGACGGGGCAGCTACCAGCTCGGGGTTCAGAAGAACTTCCCTGTCTCTGCTCCCCTCCATGTTGGGACCAGCCTCTGCCCAGAGCCCACTCTGTCCACACTCCCAGCACAGTTGCTCCTAGGCCCCCCTAGCCCTCTGCTCCAGGAGGCCTTCCCATGGGGTCCTTGCTACCCTGGTCCCTCTCCCCTGTCTGGGCACAAGGAGAGGGCAGCTGAGTTAGCCCTTCCCACAGCACATTTGCTCCTGCCTCATAACAGTCTTGCCTTGAATCTGTACCGCCATTTAAAAAAAAAAATGTAGTTGTAAATGGACAAAGTGGCTTTATTGTATTTGTTTTTTGTTTTTATGTGGTGCTGAGGATCGAACCCAGTGCCTCATGCATGCTAGGCGAGCACTCTACCACTGAGCTACAGCCCCAGCCCCTGTACCTCCATTTTTATACAGAAAAGAAAAAAAAAATGAGGCTTGAAGAGGAGAGGTTAGTAGTGGAGTTGGGATTGGAGCCAGGTGTCTTGGCCAGACTCCCCAGTGTCCACCAACCCCATTTCCCCTGCCTTGTCCAAACACACATCGCACATTCCCTTCTTGGTCATCTAAGAGCCCCCTAAGACTGTCTTGCTCTGCTCAACACAAGACCTTATCTGAACAAGTGGACCAGGCCAAGGCCACTCCTGCCACCTGTAGTGCATGGGGGTATTCAGGCTTGGTGCCCAGCCCCGTAGGCTACTTTCCTTTGACAGTTCCATTGTGCAGCATGCCTGGCTATCCCCTGAGAGTTAGAGTAGGTGAAAGGTGTTATCCCACTTGACAGAGAGATTGAAGTCCAAGGGCTGGACTATTACCAGGGGCCACCCAAGTCTATAGCAGGCAGCAGAACTGAGTCTTCCCCAGCTCCCTGGGGACTTCCTGTAGCCCTTGGGAGCTCTATGTCTGGGTAGAGCCTGGGGCCTGGGGAATCCAGCCACTCCTCATCCCGAGTTCTTGGGCTGGGCCTGGTGGTTCTGAAGTGGCTGATGCTTTCAGGCCTCTGAAATAGCCAAAGGCCTTTCCACAGCCCTGGCCCTGACTGGCCCTGGGCTGAGGCAGAAGCTCATCCTGTCTGGGGAATAGGGGTTAGAGCAGTGCTGCCTTCTGATGGGACACTGTGTGAGCCATAGTGAGGATCAAGGGGGGGTACAGGGGACCCCTAGGAGAGGTGACCCCTTGTCCACCCTGTCCCCGTGGCAGAGGGCCCCACTAGGAGCCCTCACAGAGAGTTCCTACCCCGTCTCTAGTCTTTGTAGGAGGGAAGTCTTGTAAGTCTCGGGGCATGTGCCCCTGTGGTGGGAATAAAGCTGAGTAGAGCCAGCCAGAAAGGGGAGTCCCCAGACTCCTTCTTGGTGCTGCCCACATCCACCTCTAGGCAGGCAGCCAGACAGTTAAGTCCATGTTGGATGGCACCAGGTGTGAAAACCAAGAGAGGGCTGGGCTCTGAGGCCTCAAGTCAGCAACCCTAGGCCTAGGCCTGGGCCTGGCCAGCCGGTTCCCAGGCCATTTCCCCAGTCTCATCATGGTCACTGTCATCGTCACCATCAATGGCTTATAGGAGTGATTCCTGAAAAACAGGGCTGCGTAGGCTGGCAGGGAGGGGACCAGACAGGCCCAGGCGGGGCAGATGCTAATGAGGCAATTAGGCCTAGCAGCTACAGAGAGACCTGCCCACCAGAGGCAGCCCAGCCCAAGCCCCTGGCACATCCGCCTGCCAGGTGTCCTGGGAATTCCTGGCCTGCTCCACCCTCCCAGCCTCAAAGGTTGGACTGGCTTCATGCCTCCAAAAACCAGAGGCAGGTTTGGCAAAGATAGAACCAGGGCACCATGACTCCATGACTACTCTTTATCTTTGCTTGGACTGAGAATGCCTGCCTGGGATGCCCTCCTGCCCTGCCCCTCAGCCCCGTCAAACCATCCGGGTTCCAAGCCCTTCCTGGAAGTGGTGGCCTTAGAAGGATCAGAAGCTTGAGGCAGGAGGCCAAGTGTGACACTGTCGCCAAGTGGGCAGGCAACTAAAGATCCTTGCTTCCCCAAAGCCTTGGCTTCCATCCATCAGAGCCCCAGGTGAGCTTACAGGGTGCTACCCATGGTCCTGGAGCATCATGTGAGAGGAGATCAGCCCATAGCTAAGATGCTGGGATTCTAATGAAGGGGATGCAAGAAGCAAGGGCAGGAAATCCAACCTACCTGGGCTTACCTGAGTCCTTCCCCACAGCTCTCCTTTGTCAGCCTCCGAGGCCCCGGGAAATCTGAAGCAGCCTGCCTGGTTCATCTGGGGTTTTGAGTGGCTTCTCTTGGCTTTCTAGGGATGACCTCAGTGTCAGCAGATGGGCATCCGGCTGAGTCAGAGCCCCCTACCAAGCCCAGCTCTTCTTCCAGGCTTGAGCGATTGGACTAAAACCATGGCTTGGGACCCAGGGCCCCCTTTGGTGTGGGGTTGTAGCTCAGCCTATGGGGGAAGGGTTAGCTACACGTAGCAGGGAGGGAGAGACTCTGACACAGGGACTTGAGGTACCATCTGAGATCAGGGATGAGGCCCCACATGACAAGAGCAGGGGCCCATTCCTTCCTAGCAAGGAGATTTCTGGTTCCAGGACTCTCACTGAGTGACTCTGGGCAGGTCAGGCAGGATATGCTGAGGCCTAAGTAGGGCATGGAAGTGAGAGGTTTCTGGAATCATCCCATGACAGTGGAAATCCAAACATATTTTAAGTCACTGATGACGAGGCAGAGGATTCTCAAAATACACTGGGGTTCTTACGCTGGCCCAGGCCCTTCCCAGGTACCCACTCTGGCCCCAGGAAATAGGTGGGTCTGGCACGGAGGAAACAGCAGTCAGAGGAAAGTTCTAGCAGAGGGACCAATGAGTGAGGACCTCTGAGGGCAAAGAACCTGCAAAAGAAGCAAGATGGATATTGTCAGAGCCTGGGCTGGGGGTATGAGGGACAGTGGAGAGTAGATGAGACTACAGGACCCCAGAGGAAAGGAGGAAAGGGGAGGAGAGGGTCAGGGTAGGTCACCAAGAGATATACTGACCATGGAGTAGGGCCTGCATGCTACACTAGAGACAGTGGTAGGCTTTGGAGCAAGGGAAGACCAGGGTAGAAGAAACACTCAGGCACAAAGTATGGATGCAAGGTCAGAGGGAACATGATTTGAGACAGTCAGGTGTGCACCTGCCCAATAAGCCCATGGAGGCCCGGGTGTGGGAAGTCCTAGCTGGGAGCCCCAGGCAGGCCTCCACCCTCCCTCAGACAGCCCTTCCCACTTGCCTGTGTTTATGTGTTTCCTTCCCATCACCTGGGCCACCGTGACTCACCCCAGGCCCCTGGTGGGCAAGTGAGTAACTGGCTGGGCCTCAAGCCAGGCCCTTCGGCAAGACACTTCCCTTCCTGGGCCTCAGCTTTCCCATCTGCAGAACGGTCAGACAAGCCCTGCTCTGTTCAGCCCACGGGGGGGAACTGGGTGGATGCAGGGCTAAGTATGTAAAAGCACAGCCTATATCGGAGTAAGGAAAACAGGTTTGGCTCTTCTGCAGGCCCTCTTAACACCATTTCCAAGTCACCTCTATGCAGAGCTTAGAATGCCCACTCGCCCAGGCTGACCAGCCCAGCAGCTCTTATCACTTTTAGGGATACCTAGAAGAACATGGAATGGCAGGCTAGGTGAGGCCACAGGAGAGGCCTGGCCAGGGCTCTGGTTGACCTTGGAGAGTTCAGATTCCAATGATGAAAGGGAACTTCACTAGGTAAAGTCACAGAGGTGAGGCCCAAGGCCCTATCCCAGACCCCAGTGAACTGAACTGCCCTTAAATGGGTAGAGACCAGCCAGGGGATGGCTCAGAAAGAAAAAGTGCTGCACTTGACTGATAATGTCTGCCAGGGTCAAAGCATAGAAGTGAAGGGTAATGGAAAAATAATATTCCTACAAGACAGATCCCCACAAAAAACATAGGGACAATGTGACTTGGGAGGAGGAAGGAGAAATTAGCCAAATATTAAAC